ACTAGGAAGCTATCCTGGGTATCAGGGAGGAAGCTGTAGATCACACAGCATCCCCGCAACTGGAAAGCTATACTAGGTATCAAGGAGGAAGCTGAATCTGTATGTGTGTAGACACACAACAGTGGAGCCCACCTATGGGTGCGAGGAGGAGGAGGCTGGCTGTAGAACCCACAGAATCTGCACAACTGGAAAGCTATACTAGGTATCAAGGAGGAAGCTGTATCTGTATGTGTGTAGACACACAACAGTGGAGCCCACCTATGGGTGCGAGGAGGAGGAGGCTGGCTGTAGAACCCACAGAATCTGCACAACTGGAAAGCTATACTAGGTATCAAGGAGGAAGCTGTATCTGTATGTGTGTAGACACACAACAGTGGAGCCCACCTATGGGTGCGAGGAGAAGGAGGCTGGCTTTAGAACCCACAGAATCTGCACAACTGGGAAGCTATACTAGGTATAGGGGAGGAAGCTGCAGGCCACAGAGCATCCACAGAATTTGCACACATTAGGAAAACTAGTTCAACACGATTAGTTAAGATGATTGTTTTGCTGGCTTTAGATAAAAGATATTTTATACACTTCACCACTGTTACGAACGTGCCTCATTAACGTGCATGTCGATACAAGTGATTCATTTATTTTCTCAACTGCCAAAAATTTCTTGCCAGCAACACAATGAAGGGATAATCTAGCTGTTTAAAATGGGTACCGATGACAAGCGTAAAAAAAATTGTTGTGACCATTGTCGAGCGAAGCGAGCCAAAAACTTTTTTTTAAGTATAGGGCCCAGCCCGTAGATATATAATAACATTAAAATTTTATTCAGATAATAGATTATAGATCTTATGCGAGCATTTTATTATAAAACAGTGCCTACATAACGATAGAAACATGGAAATTTAATTTACACAATTTTCAGAGCTCTGCTAATTTGGGCGTTTTATGAATTTTGTAATTTGGGTGTTTTGCTAGGGGTCGTAATTTGGGCGCCGGTATTCGGTATGAAAAATGGCTTGGATTAGCCCCTGACAATATCATTGAATTAAACTGGGCGACTGTTCGCTATATCTAGGTTACACAATGTAAGCTAGACTTCTGGCGCCAACACGACGGCCACATCCGTGTCTCACCGATACGCTTTCAGCACAAATTCTCACCTTGCAGGTTATTAGCGTGATCACGTACGACTGAACGCTGGGCAGACGGACGACGTCCCCCAACAACTTGTAGGTTGCCATGATGCCGTCACCGCCTCTGTCGTCTTGGCTTTCTTTCTCTGGCTTCAGCATCCAAACCAGTGTTGTTGTGACCATGAATACTATGCCCCAAAACCAGAGGAATCCTGCAGCAGGCAAAAAGCAATCACATCAATGAACAATTGCTCAATCGATCATTCAATCCCTTCAATGGGTGATAATTTTTCCATTCAAACACCTACGACGACACCCAAATAATCTATCCATGGTCACGCACGAAAACATCTGGCATTTCCATATGTATTCATTGTTTTGGTGGTATGCTTAGTTTTGCAAATATTCAGTGTGATGGATATAGATGGACCATTCCTATCTGCCATTGTCAAATAAACTAATTATTGATGAGCATCTAAAGTTGCGAGGGACGACACCAGAGAACCAACTATCATATTCCACAAACATTTTTATAGTACTAGATTCATCTCTTGCCAAACAGCGCAGTGACAATGTAATTACCTCCGAGCGTTACAAGTCCCGTATCGGTTGGCGTGCTACGAAGAAACTTGTTGGAGAAGTCTGCAGACTCCAGCGCTAAAAAGACTATGTTCCCGAGAAAATAACCGGCCGTCTGACCGACAGAGTTGCAAGTCGATGCATAGCCGACGTTCCGTCTAGAAATACAGCACAGTAAGTGTATCAACTTACACTTGCATGAGAGGTTTTAGAAGGGTGACAAGCTGTTATTACCCAGCTATCTATTTACATATCAAGAGAGACAGCTCCTTTGGAATATCATTCTAAAGCAAGAACGCTTAGGGTTTCTCACGTCGATTCATCATTCTGCATCATCTGAAAGAACATGACAGAAGCGTGTAATATACCTTGACAACATCGTCAGTGCCCAGCCGTCGACGGCAATGTCTTGCGTCGCAGCCAGAAAGTTCAACATGAAAAACACAACCGTCAGTGTAAAGATGCTAGCAGCTTCAGATCCATCGTCTCCTGCAAATACCAACAATGTTACTAATTAAGGATAGATACTAGAAACATGGTTAACGTCGTGACCCTATGATATATTGGATGTGCTATAGCTACGGATTACTGAAGGTGCAACATGAATACATATTCACAAGAAACATTGTCCTCACATATATCGTACGGTGACGTATACATCGTGACGTATAGCATCTCAAATAATGGTCTCACAGTACCATATATAATTACAATACTTTTATTATGCATGCTAAATGTATTAAACTGTACTAACTAGTTGCGATCAAAACCTGTGATGCATTTACTAACATGCATATACCAACACCCATCTCGACATCCACACGTCCTAAACAAGTCTCGGACTCAAACGGACAAAACCCAAACAACGTACATTTGTTTAACAAATAAATAAATAAACAACTAGCTAAATGAGTAATCCTAACCAAATTCTGGACGTAAAACCCCCAAAATATGGTCATATATTTAATAAATAAGTGGATAGATAGATGAGTAAATGGCGCACAGCGACAGAGGATGTCGAGAGCACTCGCCTAGCAGGCGCGCGACCTGCCCGGACAGGTACAGCATGAAGGCCCCGATGAGATACTGCGTCGGCACGAGCCACGACTTCCGGCGGCCGAACGACGAGAAGTAGGCGGCGTCGACGATCGGCGCCCACAGCAGCTTGATGCTGAACGGCCAGTAGACAAAGCTGAACATCGCCTGCTCGGTGTAGCTGACCTTGCGCGACGACAGTATCATTGGCACGGCGCCGGTGAGGCCGAGCGGGATGCCCTGCAGCACGTAGAGCAGCAGCAGCAGCGCGATGCTGCCGCGGTCGCCCCGCAGCGGGTCCGCCAAGTCCGCGACGACCTCGGAGTCCTCGGTTAGACGGGCGCCGGCCTCCAGCACCTGCGCGTCCTCGGGTAGCAAGTGCGCGTGAAACGGACTGTGCGCAAACGACAGTCCCCCGTCCAGCTCCGTCTCGCTGTCGGGGACCCATGGCGTGCGCTTTCGCCTCGGCATTTCCGTTAGAGCTTCCCGGTCGTCGATCTCCAGCCTGGGTCGCTTCGAAGTCCGACCGAACCCTGTGTGCGGTGCAGCGAGGCCCGGGGAACGACTGCAATAGAAATTAATGAAATTTCGGCGACGGCGACTAGATTTCGCACGCACGCGTGTCGCTGTCGGCCTTCATAGTACTGTATTAGTATTGTATTAGTTCGGCCGTGGCTACGCGACCGGTTCCAGACAAGGAGCCGCTACGCTACGCGTCCGGACATCCATCTCACACAGTGATCTTGCGACACGTCCACGCATGATTGCGCAACGGGACGCTCTGCTGATTGCCGAGTGTGTTTGTGCGTACGTGAGAGGGAGAGAGAGAGGTGTGTGTGTGTATGTGTGCACGTGTGTGTGTGTGTGTGTGTGTGTGTATGTTTGTATGTGTGTGTGTGTGTGTGCGTGTGTGTGTGTGTGTGTGTGAGAGAGAGAGAGCTAGAGGTGTGTGTGGGTGTGTGAGAGAGAGAGAGAGAGCTGTGCGTGTGTGTGTGAAAGAGAGAGAGAGCGAGAGAGGACGGATAAAAGGATGGACGGCAGCAGTGCATATATTGTATATTTACGGCAATCAACAGAGCGTCCCGTTGCGCAATCATGCGTGTACGCAAGTCACGCGATCACTGTGTGAGTGGATGTCCGGATGCGTAGCCTGGAGGCTAGGCGACCGGTTCCGGATGCGTAGCCTGGAGGCTAGGCGACCGGTTCCGGATGCGTAGCCTGGAGGCTAGGCGACCGGTTCCGGGTGCGTAGCCTGGAGGCTAGGCGACCGGTTCCGGATGCGTAGCCTGGAGGTTAGGCGATCGGTTCCGGACGCGTAGCCACTGCGTATTAGTTCTGTATTACTAATAGTACTGTACTAGTATAACTATATAATAAGTACCTAGCCCACCACCACCAGGCTGCGAAACTAACGAGCAACGTCAACGCACATGAATAACGTCAATCGTCGTCATCATGAGTGTTAGCTCTAGTACTATAGCCCACGTACAGTTGGCGCAGGCCTGCGTTAACTGTACGCGGGCTATAGTACTACTACTAAAGTAGCTCCAAGAAACGGTATTGCTAGGGTTAGAATACGATATGACACTATATATGTATATTGACGTTAGTCACACAGCCTGGTCGGGTATATATTTGCTATAGTTTATAGTATAGTATGTACAATGTTATGTTGGACCACAATGGAAATAAGTGTGTTAGCCACGCTTTTTTGTGTTTTCATCCTCGATAATTTTCTAGCTGCATTTTGTTTATTTATGCTGTTATCAATGTAATGTATGCTTCAGTAATTATCGAAATAAATAAATAAAAAAAAACAAAACAAAAAAACTACTACTACTAGAGCTACATGAGTGTGTGACGGTTTCTTGAAGATCTATTTCTGTATGTAAATTATTGTTATAATACAATACAACACGATAAGATACAAAGCCAGAAACGGCTAGGACTCCTGTTAGACTACTGACTAGTAACTAGTAGTAGTAGTAGACTGGCGACAGCTGTCCAGCTTGTGTAACGACAGTGCGTGTTGACAGTTCAGTGCAACGTGTAAAGAAGATGCATTGCACAGATTACTGGGGCCGGCTAGCGAGCCAAACTCATATATTATCACAAAGTGTCTACCTTATACCATAGCTGCAAATAAATGAAGGCTATAGAACTAGCTAGTAATACTAATAGTATTTTCACCTCTAATCTATATTTTCATTTATTGCGATTAGCAAGTCATTCTACGGAAAGCACACATCACGATCACTCTCACGCAGCCTTTGCGCGCCACCTGGGGCTATTAGTATTAGTATTATCATTAGTATTACTATTACTAGCCATTACAAATATATTCTGTTAATATTATTATTTCCATTTTTTCCAGAAACTCGAATGCAAATAAACGCAAGAATGTAAGCATTTTCGTTCCTAAATGTAAATATCAAAGAAAAACAACATTGTGTTAAATGTTAATTGAATAATAATAATTCAGTCAAAAGGTGGCGCACCTACCTGGGAACCGCGACGTCAGGTAAGTTGAATCAGAGCAAATATAAATTATAATCAGAGCATATAATATAATCGTTGATTTATATGCTCTGGTTGAATTATGATAGGCCTACCTGAGAACAATATTATTATGTTATTATTATGTTCTATGTTCCGTTCTCAGAATGGAGCAAGGGTTCAGAGGCACGCAGGCACTGCAGGCCTGCGGCAGCGATCCGCGGGCTATAGGTGTTGAACAACAGTAGAGGCCGTCCATAGCCTGCAGGCCTGAATAAGCATCGAACAGAAATTAATTAAAAATACTCACACTGTTACTGCACTTACAAAACATACACTTTATTCATGTTAAATAACTACAGATTCATGCTCTATGCTCCCCCTCGAAACTTTTGGCCCAGCTCTATGATGGCGAATTTCTGCCAAAGTTGTCTGAACACATTTCTACACAATAAACACCACCGGCTCGCGTGACCTACGAACACTGACGGAATGTCACGCGAATACACAACAAAAAATCAATTTTACTTCTAGATGCTTTCTGCACGGCCACGAGGCATTCAAGCTTGTGTGACAATGCTAAACTTATTGCACTCTAGTGCCGGAATTTCGCGGAAAGAAAAATGCCAAAAAAAGGCCTTTTCTAGAGACGAAATAGTGGCAACGTGAACAATCGCGGACGCTTACTGGTATATATGCCGTCCTATAGAGTACCGAAGTGTAGACGTCACGGTGTCATGGACAACCGAACCACTGGTTCTACACACCCACTTGGCTCCATTGACAATATACTGCGTGAAAATGTTGCTACGTCGTAATAACACGAGTGTGCGCTGCGAGACGCGACGGGTAAAGGCATAGGTAGCAAGTCGATCTTACAATATTTAATTAATAAATTTTTAATTTTTTTTTATTTATTATTTTTTTAAATTATTATTATTTATATTTTTTCATTGGCTTTTCACTTCATGCCTTTAGGAAATCTATAAAACTGCAACAATTGACTCTCAGAATGATGGTTACAATCGGGTACAAAACACTACATGCAGTTAATGTTACCAGAGCATATGATTGTGTAGAACCAGTGGGTGCGTTGTCATGCCACCGTGACGTCATCACTTCGGACCTCTATAGTACTAGAGCTAAGAGGCACCGTGCGTGTAAAGCACGGTTGTCTATGTTATTACTATTAGTTATTAGTATTACTATTAGTATTAGTTATTACCTAATGAGTAATGTAGTACTACTACTAGTAATGAAGGCAAGCCTTATTGCACTGGTGTTGACAACGGTACAACACCGTAGCAAAAAGGCGTCATCCACAGAGCCGTATCTAAGTAACACTACACACTAAACGTACACAGTACACTAATACTCTAACTCAGTAGGCCTAACACTAAAGACTCCATCAAATAAATAGGTCCTTTGTTTTCATGTCAAAATACCTTTGATTGAAATTAATATTATTGCCAATATTGGCAACAAATACTGAAATAGGCGCTGTTGTAGCTAGATACAATAATGTAACCTAAACATATGATAGGTGCTATCCTGTGTTTGGGTTACATTATTGTATTTATGTTGTAGCCAGTAGCCTGTTACTCCCAGTCCCGGAATGAACCTCACATGACATTTGACAGGCGCTCCGCGAGAATGGGAACTGTCTCCAGGCTATAGTTGGTAATCGCTCGAATTTAGAGCCAATAGGATGCACACGTCATCCACATAATTTGCAAGCATATAGGCTATTCAATAATGAATCCCTAGCAATTGTATATAATTTGCTTTTCGTGTAGACAAACGTGTACTTTTGTGCAATTTAGCTTATTGTTTGGTCCTTATTTTCAGAGGTCTATATGTTGGTCACCATGACCTGCCCTCCAACTAATGCAGATAAGGTCTATGTCCCCCTGACCTCTGTTTGACCTGGCTCGTTGAGCTATTTCTGACTAATATATATAGGGTTAGGGTTAGGGTTAGACCGTTAGGGTTAGTCAGAAATAGCTAAACAAGCCAGGTCAAACAGAGGTCAGGGGAACATAGACCCTACGAGCCCAACTAATAGTATCAGGAGTAAGATAATATAGGATATATCCTATATTATCTTACTCCTGATAGTATTAGTACTGCCTATCGAGCACTTACAAGCAGCAAGGCTGTCATCTTTTCCACATTGTAATCACTGTCAATTAGGTTGCTTGAGATCATCACCAAAAGGTAGATGCGTGAATTAGTGAACAGCTAGGTGACAATAACTGTGTGTCGACACAACAGAGACTCCAATTCTAAAAAAATATTACACTTTTGTAACGTGTCATTGTTCATCCCTGCCTCCTTTACCTGCATGGACGACGAATGTTAACTTTGTTGTAGACAAAAATGTACTCAACTCCATGCGGGATTAGGTTTAATATACCCAACCCAAGGCCTACCACCACCACTGCCTGCCTGATTTTCTAGACAGTTGCCACGTTCTGCCAGCTGGTGATGAGTTTTAAATGGATAAACCTTGCAACAAAATCCTATATATACGCTACTGTGAGCATACTTGCAGTGTGCAAACATCATGAAATGTTCTCATTGAGCCAGAGAAGTGCTAAAAACATTAGGATTTTCAAAATCGCGTCTGACGCGGTAATGTTACATAGCTAGCAGTAGCCCTAAGCTAGCGCAAATAGTTCCTGGAACGAAAACACTATATTTCTTTCCTGATTGCATAACTAATATAGATAACGATATAATTTAAACAAATTTTACAATTTTGTACTGATTAAACATCGAATAATGAATTATAACTTGTTTTATCATAGAAAGGAAATGAATCGAGCCGATCGCTCCGCTGTGTCCCGGATGTGTAAACATCACTGTGGTGCTACTTTCGTAAGAGAAGTAATTTCGTTTAGATTTTGAGAATAAATCTTATGAAAGTAGCAATACAAATGAGTTGTAACTTGTAGTGAATTTTTGCAACATATGCAAGCTCACAGTAGGTATATTATTATATATATATATATATATATAATTATATATATATGCATTTAGCTGTGAGGTTTGCAACTTTAAGCACCTAAGAGTACTGCTTGGCAAAGACAGACTGGTTTTCTGAAACTGGGTCTTGTTAGGAAAACTTCAAGATTTATCACAAAATTTAATCATATATACTAGTTATTGAAGTATATGATATCTCACGGTTCTCCCCCAACCTCTGATGCATGTTAGGTCTGACATGCCTTCAAAGCTAAAGGTAATTTGAAATATCCCATTAATCCGACATGCCTAAATTCACAGGGCATGTATTCACAGAATATACATTATTGGCAGCACATCTGTCTGCATTTTTGTATTCGGAATGGAAATTTAAATGAGATATCTGATGTCATTCGGATTGTTCTGTTTAATTTTTTTTTGTATTCATGTTTGTTTTGTTATCGTAGTAGTTGCTGTTTGCTGTTTTCATTGAGTTTATGCTGATGGGGTAATATTTAAAAAAATGCATTATGCCATAACACACAAAAGCATGCTTAGCTGTTTCTGTGCCAATGCTATGTAATGTTCCTACTCTTACGGCCCAGACTTGTGTGGTTAATTTGCCAACGGCACCACGTTAGAGGGCGGGCAGCCGCAGTGCAGACAGGACACTGCTTCGTGACGCGAACGATGACGCGTTGTATGTGTCGCGTGCGTGGTTGCGATAGTGTTGCGAGACTCGATCGTTATCGTTCTGTATCTCGCCATCCCTATTCGATGATGTCGTTACTCTACTGTGCTGTTGTTGTGATCGCGTGAGGGATTGTTATTGTAGGATTAGTCTTCTTGGGCCACTATGAACGCTTGATCCCCGCTCACTCGGGTCTCAATGCCGTGCACCCTGGCATACCGGTATAACCTACTCGACCATCACGACCGTTTACTCGCGTAATTAGCATTTTCACGTGCGATGACGTACGATAAGAGCGGGCGCAGAGGAAGAGAGGGGCAGAGGTGAGAGGCGTGACGAGGGAACACGCTGCGCGAGTGACAGAGACGCGGAGATGGAGACCGAGAGTGACCACTTTATTACTTCGCAGGCGCAAGCGCGTGACGACCTTTCGTCTTGGGCGCGAGATAAGATCTGGTTGGACAAAGGGTCACCAGATCGTAACTTCATAGACGGGCATTTCTGTACTAGAGGAAAGGAGCGTTTTCTCAAATTGTTACAGATCAGAAAAATTAAAGCGGTGGTTTTGCAGGTAGATACCGTAGAAAGATTTTGTTGTAACCTATAAGGTCTCTTATTTATATATTAAACGTTCTGATGCAAAGTTAAACCGTGGACCTTCAGTAGAAGGACATGTTCTTATCAGATACTTAAAGTACGCGTTGAAGCTTAACAAGGTGATGTCCTCCAGTCGTGCACCCCGAAATGGCTTGTTAAAGAAATATTCACTAAATTTTAATTCTC